ATAATAGCATTGTATTAAATTTACAAACACATTCTACTTAAATTTAAAACCACCTGAGTATCTCCCCTAAACTCATTTGCTTCTCCAACTTCCCCCTATCATTTTATAACCATTGAACTCTGGACAGACCCCCTCAAACTCAATCCCGTTGGCATGTAATCGATGCAAATTATCAGCTCGCCTGATAAACGGAGTTAAGCCAACTCCTTAAGTGCTGCCCCCCGACCTAACTGTACTTGGACTTGGTCTTCGACTTGGTCTTGGTCTTGGTCTTGGAAAATCGGTGAGCTGAGAGACTGAAAAGTGATACCATTAGTGAGGCATATCGTATCGTGCAGCATGCAACACGTGCTCGAATGAGTTATGGCCAAGAAAGTTTTTAGCTTTAATATGCCAGCTAGTGAGTGACCATTGCCAATACTCAATCCTGGTTCCCCCTCATCCACTGGACTAACGAACAAAATACTTGCACGCTCCGAGGCCAGATCTCTGGAGTGGAGTATCTGGAGTGTCTCATAAGTAGCGCAAACGAAGCTCTTACGCAACGGACCTGCCAATGCCAGAGCAGCTTGTTGTCCCATCGTCAATAATAAATAAATATGTGTCTATGCTGTGGCATGCCAGGACACTCCAGAAGTCAGGACTCCATTGTGAAGGAGGTGGGGCCAGGCAGGTAAGAAACTATTACACTGTCTGTCTGCGGGCCAAACAATGGATGAGAGTCGTATGAAGACCAACAACGACATCACAACTTTGGCCCGGAATGGAATGGAATTTTATTGCATAACCGTTTTGTGACCGGCACGGTGGTCCGTGTAATAAGGACATCAGAACCCTTGACTTCACTGACATCGACTCCGAACTCTACCGGCGTACTAATGATGACACACATTTCATATCTTGATCTCTCCCAAGGACTTGACTCGCACTCGTACTTGGACTCGGGCTCGGACTCGGATGCTTGTCAAAATAAATTGAAGCACATGCTTAGGCGCTGCACAATGCCATTAACATTTTGATGTGTCCTGGACCAGGACCAGGACTAAGAACAGGACTTGCCATGTAGTAGGTAGAACTCTGACGGGGCTCCACTGGTTTTTGTGGGCGGCGACAGGGACTATCAGCGGTTTATGATCTCTTCTCGAATAAATTGTTGGCACTGGCTCACGGGAATGAGGCGTACAAATTGGCCGGCTTCTTGTTCACGAACAGGACTAACTCTCTTTCTCCTTTTCCCAGGACTAAAAATACTACTGTTTGGCAGGTGATTCAGCTACCGTGGGCCAGTGCACCTGCAATCCTTTTTAATGAACTTCGATGAGGGTTTTTCATGTTGTATTCTTGGAATTAACTTGTTGTTGATTACATGCTTACATGTTTCTTGTAATATCTTTTATTTCATGAACAAAAGACAAAGAATTTGTCACTTTGCTTGAGAGAAAAGTCAAACTTGAATTCAAAAATTGTTTGCTGTCGTGTTCGCCTAATTAATTCATCAGGCCTGCTGATGGGTTCTGATGGGTTCTGATGGTTTCTGCTTAACTTTTGATTGATGACCCGGCCCAATTTGTCCCGAAAAAAGATGCAAAACAGCAGGGTGTTAAACATATGCAGAGATGCAAGATACACAGATACTCGAATATGAACGAATCAAATACAAATTGAAACACAGCTGTTCTGGCAAGTGCAGTTGCAGCCACAATTATCGGGCGGGGGCGTTGAAGGTTGCTGTTCTACAGCAAATAGATAATAAATCATAATTTTCCCCATTTTCCTCATATTTTCCTCTCTCTCTCTCTCTCCCTTTCTCTGGCTGAGTGAAAACATCAAAACACGAATGACCCGCGCGCTCTTCGACACATTTTCCGGGGGGCTCATTGAAAAGTTCTGCAGCCGAACTTGGGCTGGCGATTTGGTAGAATTCCTTTCAAATGTCAGAAATTAAGTTATGACAGATGACCACGTACATTTGTCCGTCTGTCCGTCCGTCTGTCCGTCCCGCTGGTCAGCTGTCAACTCATCCGCTGCTTTACAACTCTCGGCGCGTTCGTAAATTTTTCAAAAAGCCCCATTCATTTGCTGGGGGCTCCCATTTAAAGGGCGGTCCGCATGCATACATACAAATATCCGAACACAATGGCCAGAGTGTGGCAGTAACATGATGGATTAGTTTCGAAAATGCCCAGCGTTTTTCTACTTAGTTTGATATCCGCGGAGGAGGAGGAGGCTCTCTGGCGATGATAATCGCATCGTTTTTTGTGAAATTGAGCTGTGAATGTGGTTCTTTTTTATGTCGGGGTATTTAAAACTGAAATGATGTGGGAATTGGTTAAATGAAATTGACAATGCAATTAGAGAGTGGTTTAACTTTGGGAAAGAACTGGAAATGGATCTAATTAGTTGGGGTTTATGTAATAGATATAAATACTTAAATAACTCAGTTATTTAATTATGAATTTTATGTTTTGTACCTTTTTGTAAGTTACTCCGTAGATTAAGTTGTAATATATATTTTTGTGGTGTTATATTTAAACTTCAAAATGTCTAAATAAGTTCTTCAGGACTTGAGGAGATAAAAACCATATTTTCCAACTGGATTTCAAGATCTAACTTGGGATTTCTTACTTCCAGAAGGATTTGGGATTTCCCATTGATTTGGGATTAAAAAAATCCAATTAGATTTCCCCTAAGATGCCATCTGGTGGAAATTATAAGAAGTTATCTTATATTTCACACTCTATTGAGTTTGAATTTTTAATACAAATTAAAGCAAGTAAACACAATAAGTAATTTAAAGTAAAACAAGCTAACTTCAAAAAGGCCAAAGGATCACATGTGCAATCGATAATAATTAAGCCAAAAATGCTTTAATCTCTATTCGGAAAGTTGTTCATTATTGGGTTTTCTTATGGTAATAAAACTGCATACTCAATTTAATGTTGAAAAAAATTTAATTTTTTTTTTGTCAAATTTTGACAATTTTAACGATGTGACCCCTTATAAAATTTTGAAAAAATTTAAAATTGTATTTTTTTTTTGCAAACACGGCTAGATCAACTCTGCTGTCAATGCTGATCAAGAATATATATGATTTATAGGGTCGGAAATGACTCCTTCCCATCGTTACAAGCGTCTGAACTTATAATACCCTGAAAAGGTATCAAATACTAAAAGAAACTCTGTTGGCAAATTAATGTTTTGTCAAAATTCCCTCAAATTCCCAGACTTGAATTCCCCAAAGACAGAGTCCTAGGATAAGTGTCCCGTGAGTTGTGCCATGCATTTTATCACTTCAGTCAGACCGTATAATTGAACGTAAAATCTGTGAAACCAAGCAAATCGGATGGCGCACTGCAGGGCACATGTTCCTGCCACAAAATGGTGACAACTATTTGCACAGTCGACTAACTGAGGCGTTCCCTGTTCCCGTTGTTGGTTTAGGCACGCGGCCAGAAGCCACAAATACACTGCCAGAAAATAGATGGGAGTTATAAATATTGAGATATACAATTTTGGAATATTTCACGACCATAGGAAAATATATATTTTGTGTTAAAGATAATGCATACTTTCAGGCAAATGATATTCAAATAGTTATTATCATAACTTATTCCTAGTAACTCTTTACTCTTTAGATTTATCTTAATGCTGGACTTAATAAATTTCCCGAAAATTATCTCTGAGTGTCCGATTTGAATACTGAAACCTGCGTATACGCAAATTAATATAGAACCATTTGAAACAACAATTAGAGGGCCAAGACAACACACCAAGAAAATAAAATAGATGCTAATTAGCCAACCGAATGATGGACGAGCGATAGCATTTGGCTCGGAACTTTTGCCAACGCCCCTTGAAAATGTTTTTTTTTGTTTTTTTGGGCGTTCGCAAGCAATTAATGCAAAAGTGTTGTAAAAATTACAGAAAACAAAACCATAAGATTGTTGCTCTTAGGGGGTAAACGTTTAGATTTAGGCTCGAAGGGAATAAAGCAATTAGGCATTATGCTAATTTGAAGGCGGAGTATGGCATAAAGTTCGAGTATATACTCACACACTCATTCATAGTTTGACTTCCGGACCGGGGTCCGAGTTTAGTTATTACTTTTTTAGGTTTCCGCCCGAGATCCACAAACACTCGTGTGTCGGGGGTCTAAACAAGATTTATGTTTCGAGTTCAATTCTTAATATGTTTTTTATTTTCTGTTTCGGCTGCCCCCAAAGATTCTCTTTTTGGCCATATAATTGCTTCCAAAAGGGGTTTTTGGTTTTCAGTTTTCGGCTTTCGGCCTTTCGCTTTTGGGTTCCGAGGTGTGTCTGCATTTTTATTTGGAGCACTTCAAAGTGTTCCGCTCCTTTGTCTCTGCTGGTTGTTGCTCATCCTCCTCCAGTACCAAGCGATATTTTAGTTATTTTTCCATATTTATTTTCTTTATCTCCGCCACCAAAAACAAAAACAAGAACCAGAACAGAAACAGAACACAGCAACACATAATTAGTGTAATTAACGCTTTTTGGCTGAGTGCGTGCAGAAAATTGTGTGTGAAAGTGCGTGGCGCTCTTTGGATGTTTTTCCGTTTGTATTTCCCCGATTCTCGTTTCTCTGGAGGCTCCGACGGTTTCTGTGTGTTTTGTTTTTCCATTTCGTGGGTTCATTCAACTGATTTATGACTTCTGTGGCAGCCTGCACTGTTTTTCCTTGGCGTTAATTTGTGAATAATCTGTGCTGCACGATATGCAATCGTTCGTGGCCAAAAGAACGGTGCTCTACTCTCCGTAATTAGCAGAAATATCACTGGACTAATCATGGAAGTAGAGTGGCCAATAAATCGGGACGAAAAAGATAAGAGTCGAGTTTGAAATATCGATTTTCTGATTTCAAATCAGGTTATATAACCGGGAATTTTAATTTGAACTGATCTGAGAAAGCCAAATCTAACCAAAATGTATGGTAACTTGGTAATAAACATAGAAGATATTGTAATCGGTGAATTTACTTACCCATTTATTAACGATAAGGTCAGCAATATATGGTAAATCGAGTTTTTTAAGACACTTTTTGATGAAAGGAATATGTATATATAATATATCAATTATTAGGTACCTGAAAATACATATAATAAACTTTAATTAATTAACGAGTACAAATATTAAGTATTAATTAAGTTCTAAAAATAGATATCAACTATTGAATTTTTGAATATGATGAGTAACTCATTGATTGTTTAATCTGAATAAAAAGATAAAGTTAAATAATGAATTTGATTATTCGAAACCAAGTCAGAACTAAATTCGATCTTTAATATAATAATAAACCTAGTTAACAATAATCGATTCTCTAGAATAAGACCCCCGGAATCTGCTTCAAAATGCTCTTCAGCTGTTGTGTATCATCAGAGAACCCATCTAATAGAAACTATATATTAATGGCACAGCGTCCAGGCGACATTAATGGCCCCTTGTGAGAAATAATTAAAAATGGAGCGGCAACACAAGACGGGAACCCTATTTCGGGGACGACAAATATTAATTGCATATGAGTGCACACAAGGAGCTGTCGCAGACATGGAAATGAGCAGCAATTAATATGCGTACTGCATATTACTTGCCCGATCCCAGTCCCTAGACATACATATTTCCCAACCCATTTTAGCTCATCTCATCTCCCAGTTGAACACTCAAAGCAATTTGCAGCAAAGTCGCAGTGCAGCTCTAAACGAAATCTAATTTACAGTAACAACGTGCGAGCTGTTTTTTTCAAAAACAAAAAAAAGAAAAGGAAAATGTATGGTTTTTTTTTTGTCCCAACTGTGTTCCATTTTTCCTTCATTTCATATTTTGTGTCTCGCTGTGGCAGCCAAATGCGATGGAACCGTATCATGGCTGAGTGTCATAAGTTTGACAGCGCACAATTTACACGTTGATGGAAAAGGATACTGGGGATTCAGATACAGCAACAGCAACAGATAGAGATACAGATACAGATGTGCATGCAGATACAGATACGCGATGAATGCGAGCGATTGGATGCACAGAAAAAAAGATTGGATGTGTTTTCTGAATGTTTAGTCAATATTTTTGAACTTGAGAATAAAAACAAGACGGTTTAAGAGAGAATAAAATACCTAGTATGCATCTTCTTGATAAATAATATTAATATTATCATCATTAATGACTCAAAATAGTGAAACTTTTAAATTAGATTCCTGTTTTCTTGATAATTATGGTTTTCATAAAGTAATGTCTATACTTTCAACTACTCATCCTTAAAATTTTTACAAATTTCCATCTATATTCCTATACATTATCTCGCAGTGCATGTGATAACTCGTCGCTCGTCCACGCAAAGTGTGAAAACTCATTTGTATCAAATTTCCCATACGTGGGAGGGATGTAGACCGGGGTCCATGACTGGGAGAGTGATACGGAGGGATTCTGGAAGGGAGCCGCACACAAATTGATGTAATAAACTCTACGCGACTGCGGCGCTGACAGGACGAACTTGTCGAACTGGAGACTGACGCTGATGCTGCCCTGTGGGGGTGCAAAATCCGATGCGTTGCGGCCTATATAGCCCGTATAGCCATATTCAGTCACCCCCTGAAACCCACCTTTAGCACCCCCGCCCCTGGACAGTCAGTCAGTCAGTCACTCACAGAGTTTGACATTTTTGACACGGTTTGTAATTGACACTTGCACTTGGAAGAGCAAAATGTGTATCACCATTCCATCGTCACGTGCAGGGAAATGATTTATTTCATCACTTGTCCTGTTTGAACCGAAAGATTGTCATATACACAAAAGTTCTTTAAAAGGAGATACATATACAAGGGAGTTTTTATCATAAACATGGAGAAAAAAAGCTATTTCGAGAACAGAAAACAAAAATTCTAGCTAAAACTATATTACAACTAAATTCTTTCAACAAAATTAAGATAAAATATATTGTTTAAGTCTAAGATACTTTAAAGTTTAAACTTTAATCAGTCAGTTCAATCACTTTCCCTCTGCTTAGTTTTTATTCTTCAGTATATAAATTTTAAATATTTATGTAAACCAAGTCCTAATTGCAGTCCTTATTTCTTCACCTGTCTTTCAAGGACTCTTCAAGTCTATTCATTCAAATGTGTCCCTTTCCAATGTGGCGTTGTGATTTTTATTAGGTTTGAGTTGACAGCAAGAGCGCTTAAAAATGAGATGGCTGAAATTTGAGCTCATTTCGGGAATTCACCTCCCGAATTACCTCTTTCACTTAATAAACACATAAAAAGGGCGACGTGCCATTTACGAATTGTACGTTACCTTAACGTTAATTTTACGGCTTCCTTGCCGCGTTTTAAAGTAGTTTCAGAGCTCCACCCCCTCATTTGCTTGGGGGCAATCAGTCTGGATGAGTACACGGAGAATGCCTGGCAAATTGTCAAAGTAAAACTCGCTACTTTGGCTAATTAATGGATTTGCCTGGGAGGACACAACACAAAAAACAGAATTCCCTAGGCGAAAAAAAAATTCTGCGTAACTGCCAGCTCAGCGAGGACGCCCCAGTAATGGTCAGGTTGGGACACTTTTTTGGGGTGTGGAATCTGGGGGATTTAATTAGGCCAAGCTAAGGATGCCCAGCCCCTGGGTCATTCCATTCCATGGCACTTATTCCCCGATCGTCATGGTCGTGGTCGTGGCTAACAAAAATGGACTGCAGGCGGCTGCAAGTGAAGACCTTATCGCTGATGGCGATTTTTTCAGTTCGTGTGACTTCGATTATAACACGGAAAATAATTTTGAAATATTTCTTGATATTTATTTTAGTTGGTAAATAATTTGCTTCGAAAATCAGAGAATTTATACATATTTTCTTATATTTTTCCACCCTTTAACAACTCCTTTTTATCACAATTTTTTTTTTATTTCCTTTTCATTTTTCCCTGTGGAGTGCCTTACAAGCCTGATTATTGATCGAAAAGTGTTGGAATCGGTTTCCATTATGTTTCCGCTTTGGTGATTCGATTCAATTGGAAAGCGCTTGCGCATGCGCGCACCTTTAATTTGGCCAAAAGAAAACGAGGCCGAGAGGCGTCGCAGTTGCAGTTGCAGTTGCATTCGGCTTACTTGTCATTTGATTAATGAGACCACGCTCGGCCATCGATCTCCATTTAGCGGGTCCCCAGTCATGGAGTGAATAATGGGGGCGTTGCCAGGTGTACCAGGTATACACAGAGTCTCCGATTCGAGGCCCGAGCCCCCTTTAATGGCGTTCTAATTGCACCAAACTTGGGCTCTGCCCTCTACACCTCTTTTCCCTCTGAGCTGCCATGTTGCCGGCGACTGATGCGTGAAATTTTCGACGTGCGAGTGAGTCTCTGTGAAGACTGGAAAGGGGGTTCCCTCACCGAAGGCGTGCCCACTGACCAGTGACATGTCTTAACTGGCCAATACACAAAAGCCAATGCAACGCGTCACACGAGACTTGAGCCATTGTCCAGTTTAAGTTTGTGGGCAGGACGAACCTGCAAGTTGGCCAGGGAAGGGCATTCATCTCAGTTTGAGTTTGAGTTTGAGTTTCAAGCGAATATTGCAGCTGCCCAGCAACATGCAAGATGGTTTTAGCCAAGTTTAAATGCTGAAATAAATGGATATTAAGCAGGAACTGTAAATGAACTCTTCTTTCTTTAAAGAGAGCAATGTGAAGGCTCTAATTACCAATTTAAAGAAGTATTTAAATGACCAACTTAAGACAATTTTCAGTGAAAAGATTACTATATCCTCAGCGATAGATCTATGACTAGAATTCAACTTGTTCATTTCGTTGACAATTTCTTTGATCACTTCAACCCCATTCCCAGGGAGAGCAGCTCGCAACGAAAAAAAATTTGTATTCTCCCCTCCCCCGAAACTTTCTCAGTCTTGTATTGATCTGTAATTGGCTGGAGGGCAATATCTCGCCACTATATCATTTGCTGTCTCGATTAATGACAGCTCATGAACTAAGCCACAACTAAATTGTCGCTCTGGCAGTGGCCATGTTGTGACTGTGCCATCCCAAGGCGGCAAACTAGGTCCCTGGGAGGCGATGACGGTCCCGGTTGTTGTGTGCCCAGTTACCCACTAACACAGACCGCAGCAGCTGACAATTAAGATGCACATACCCAGATAGCGGGCATGGAGTCTCCAGCCTCGTCCTCGTCCTCGTCCACATCTCAGGCACCGCTCCGACTTTTGCTGCGATGGCACCTTTTATCCAATCCAATCCAATCCAATCCTAGGCCACACCATCCCATCCCATCGCATCGAATCCCATCCCGTACGCAATTTGGGCGAACTGACAGTTGGGACTAAAGAGCCAAGCGGATGTGGCGAACGGGCGAGAAAGTAACGGAAAAATCCAGCGGCTGTGACATGCAACCAGGTACAGAGAGGAAAATAGGGAAAACATTTTTCCAAATTGTATAAATATTATGGTAAATTAATAAGGATTAAGAGAGGCAAATATCTAAAGCACTTTCTTCATAAAGATTTAAAGTTATTTCTTGAATACTTATGAATCCCCTAGAACTCAAACGGTAACTTAACATATCCTTAGCTTTCTTCCTAAATTTTCCCAGTGTTCCAACCGTATGCCAGGCAGACAACGACTGTTCGTGTTCATTTTCGACTCTCTCGTGGAAGTTGTGGAAAATTGCGCAGGCGCACCTTTCGCCACAGAGGGAAGAAGCCGAAACAGACACAATTGTCGCCCCATCGCCATCGTAAATCGTGTAATTCTCTCGAGTAACAAAAAGCTGAAAAAGAAAACTGCTAGCTAGATTTTCCTGTGAACACTTTGAACTCAATGCTGGGCCTGGACTTGGGCCTCTTACTGGTGGGCGTTTGTGGCTGGTAAGCTTTTAATTGATTTGTAGTTGTTGCCGCTTTGCCACAGCAACTTGTGTAATTGCCTCAGGATCGAGGCTTCGTACTTCGACTGCGAACTGGGAACTCGCAGTCGCATTAGTCATAAGTGCAAGGAATTTGCTGTGCAATTTTCCGCCTGCCACTTAAATGTTTCGGCTGGCTATCCGAATGTTAAATTATTGCCAAATCATTAACTCGACCAGTCGAGCATATGGTCGATCCATCGCTCGGTCGGTTAGACGTTCAGTCCGCCAACAACAACAATTTTGCCTGATAATTTATTGGCACACAGCGCACAACGACATCAATCACTTTGGGTTGCCTTTGCTCGCCAAGCTTTTCAATGCAACTTTTCCGCTGAATGAAAACAAATGTTCAATATTGCCGCCAAAGTATGTAAAGTTTTTTGTTTTCTCTCTTTCTCTTCAATATCTCTGTCACTCCCTCAATATGCATACTCTATCGGTGAGGGAAAATGGATTTAACTTCAAGTCTTTACATTCATTGACAAAGTTTTAGAGTGAGGAAGTTAATTAATTAAACTGAAAGATTTTAAGTAACTTATTTCCTACAAAAACCTCTACAATTTCTTGATTTTCAATCAATTCATTTAATATTTCTTTAATTCATTGTAAAGTACTAGCAGTTAGCTTGTTTCTTGCCTGACAAACCCTTGTGAGATACTTTATATAGACAATTTTATACATATTTCCAAGTGTATCTGAACTTCGACCTGCTACCACGATCATAGCTGGTTTGTTTCTGTTGCTGTCGTGGCTTTTGTGCTAATGGTTTTGCTTTTGATTTCAACATTGTTTTGTGGGCCAGTTTCCCCCTTTTTGCAGTCAGAGACCCAGCCCCGGTTCCACTCCCCGTGGAACCTGCTTTATTGATGATTGCTCTCGCCGTTGACAGCACAAAGGCAGCCAGAGCAGCTCGAAATTTACCCTTATCCTGGCCAGTGCCGCTCCTTTCGGTGCTTTCGGTGCTCCGGGGTCGTTGTGATTTGACTTACTGCTCGAGTTGAGTTGCAGCGGAGACCCCGACAAACAAAAAGGCACATTTGCATACAGTCGAAGGCTGGGGACTCGCCTCGACTTGACCAAAAATGGCAGAAGCCGCCATGCAAATGGGGAGACCTTCTTCAGTGGCCAGATCCGCATCCATCTCTCGTAATAAAGTGATATGCGTGCCCCGAAACAATGGGGTATGAAATTAGCATAATAAAAGCCAAAGGCCAACGCTCGAAGAAAGTGCAGAGCTTCTCTCTCTCTCTGTGAAGCACTCAATCTCAGGGCCAGGTCAAGAGCTACTAGCAATTTGGCGGGGGAATTCTCAAAAATCAAAGAAATAACAAACAAAAAATAACGAATAACAGCACTTGCAGAAAATTTGACTCACATTAAGCCCTGGATTTTTCATAAATAAGTGTTTTCACTTTGAAATATATTAGGGAATTACACTTGGGAATTTTGGACATACTACAAAAAGATTTATATAATTTTTTCAGTACTGTAAGCAAATATATATTAGGTCTTTATTAAAAACCTCTCTTCTTATTTGAGTCGATCAATTAAAAAGTAATTGAATTTGGTCAATATATAAAAAGGAATTCAGAACTAGAGAGAAACTTAAACTATAATCAAAACCTATTTTATACCCTTAACTAAAGAACCCTTTTTGTTTTAAAGTCTTAGCTAAGACCTGACTTAGTACGATTATTAGAGGATTATTACAATTAATTAATTTGCTACAATTAAAAAAAGCGAACTTGCTCTTA